GGTGGGCTTCCTCTTCAAGAAAAGATGTGGCGATGTGTTATTTCCCAGCATTTGGTGTTGTTTTGCCTTCTGTAATGCTTGGTTGCTGTCTCAGCAAGCAGTGGTGGGGGACTTTAGAGAAACGAGCTGAAGCTTGCTGTCGACTATGTATGTTCAGTCACTTCTAAGCGGTCGTGTGCAGGCCTGAGTGAGTGGATTGCTTTCTCTGTTAAGTTGTTTAGTACTTTGTGTTGTGCCCGCAGCATCCCCAGTCCAAATCCGGATCACGACACTCTTTTCGTGTAGGTGAAGACGTCGTTGAACTCCTTTTTGCCATCACAGTATTTTAGCCGAGTGCATCCTCTGCTGCTCGCATTTGCATTGATGGTTGGCCCCAGTGTCCTCTGTTGCTCACATCCAGAAAAAAAATAGCATGTGACCCACAGGCAGGAGTAGTCGTGGCCGAGAGGTTAAGGCGATGGACTTGAAATCCATTGGGGTCTCCCCGCGCAGGTTCGCACCCTGCGGACTACGTTGATCCTTGTCACTTTGTCTGGTTGCGACAGGAATTGTGACGTCCAGAAGCTGTGTACAATCTGGATTTTTCTCTTACTTCATATGCAGCACTTAAAATGGGCAACCCACATCTCTTTTCAAGCTTGAAATGAGCACCGTTTCAAAAGGCTCAGATCATCTGTGATTTTGGCCATTCTATTCAGGCAATCGGAGCAATGGCTTTGGCATCCCCGATAACTCCAAGGCCTTCACAGTGTGCAGCTCAAGAGTTGCTGCATTCTATTTTGTGGAGAATCTTGCATATTAGTGTTTTGAAATGTCGGATTTGCTCTCTCTTAGCATAGTGAAACAGAAACCTACTCATTGTGTACCAATTACTTGTTTGTCCAAACCACCTTAGAGTTAGCAACCGGCCATGAAAAAAAGAACACTCTTTCAATGTCAGTGTTCCTAGCTTGCCAGGAGCATCCCATCTCTCTTGCCCCTTTACAAATTGTGGTCTTCATCATTTGATGCCACAAATTTTAAGCTGACAAAGCAGGAACACTTTATGGAGAAAGTGCTGTTAAATCCCCGAGGTGCCTGTTCCTTGGTAAGAGCCCGAATAGCTCAGTCGGTAGAGCATCAGACTTTTAATCTGAGGGTCCAGGGTTCAAGTCCCTGTTCGGGCGAAGGTCTGTCACTTTGTTGCAGACCTCCCCTAATCACTTGCTGTCCTCTTACCAGCCTTTGAGGAAGGTGGGCTTCCTCTTCAAGAAAAGATGTGGCGATGTGTTATTTCCCAGCATTTGGTGTTGTTTTGCCTTCTGTAATGCTTGGTTGCTGTCTCAGCAAGCAGTGGTGGGGGACTTTAGAGAAACGAGCTGAAGCTTGCTGTCGACTATGTATGTTCAGTCACTTCTAAGCGGTCGTGTGCAGGCCTGAGTGAGTGGATTGCTTTCTCTGTTAAGTTGTTTAGTACTTTGTGTTGTGCCTGCAGCATCCCCAGTCCAAATCCGGATCACGACACTCTTTTCGTGTAGGTGAAGACGTCGTTGAACTCCTTTTTGCCATCACAGTATTTTAGCCGAGTGCATCCTCTGCTGCTCGCATTTGCATTGATGGTTGGCCCCAGTGTCCTCTGTTGCTCACATCCAGAAAAAAAATAGCATGTGACCCACAGGCAGGAGTAGTCGTGGCCGTACCCTCCGGCGAATGGACAGCCTAGCTATTCCTAACCATTTGTTACAAGTCCTAACACAAGTCCTAACACAATCTAAATAAGTCCTAACAAGTCCTAACACAATCTAAATAAGTCCTAACAATTCGTAACACAGGTCCTAACACTTCTAAATTACGTCCTAACAGTTCCGAACAGCGGGTCCTAACAGTTCTGAACAGCGGGGCAAAACAGCCATTGGCTGGACGGGGCAAAACAGTCATTGGCCGAAACATAGTCTCGTGACCACCGTCATAAAGAGCGACGGCGCGAAAAGGACTTGTCACTCACCCCATCACTACCTGAGACGGTTTTGTATTTTAATGCAGGCAAGTAAAGCTTAATTAACATTTTAACGTGAAAGAGAAACAGTATCAAACTCGGTTTAGGTTGAATACGTTTAATTCAGCTATCTTTATTTTTAATTCGTTGTTTTAACACTTATATAGAGTTAGGAGGCCGTGTTTTGATATAGTGATATAAATCGCGGCCTTCATATTGCAAAAGCGTAGCCGGACTGCTTTAAGTTAACAGTATATAGACTATAAATGAGGATAATAATTTCTATGATGATTAATGTTAAAATACAGAGTGGGGACTTTTGTATTAACCATTGAGTGTACAAATAAAACCGTATATAAAAAGCCTAATTATAACTTTAGAAACTAATTATGTTATAATTTTTACATAATGAACTGCTTTATTTTTACTCTCTGTTGCTTTTTACTGTTTTCAATTTATTAAAGTTATTACAGCTTACCCATACTTCAGATAATTTTTCTAAACTCTTAAAACAGACTCAGACCTACAAAACACAATTGGCCAAATGGATGATTTTCTTCTCAAAAACACATTTTGTCAAATATATACTAACTCTTCATTTCAAAATAGAACACATCTTTCTCTGCACACACTAACTTTACCAAAACACTGAAAATCTGACTCAGAATGAAATTATTCTGTCAAAGAATAACACTTGTTTTCACGTCACAAGGTGCATGCAGTCAATCAAAGTACACCAGGTTTCAAAATACTGGCTATTGTTGACATTACAAAAACTTCATAGACTTTTGTGTTTCAGTTTTACATGTATTTGCGTGCAAAACATGCAATCCACCGTTTTTACACTAAATTTCTTGGTTGGGAACTGTATGTCCACATGTACAGTAATGTTCACATTCAAAAGCATTCCAGTAAAAAGCAAATCAGTTTTTTTTCCCTTTACTGTTTTCCAGCGTCTCTTAGTGAAAGATCATGGTTGATTACATGGTCAATGATAGTGGCACGAATTTCATCACTGAATTCTGCACTTGCAGCCCTTGGAATGCCAACACCACACATTCTTACACCTCTACCTTGCCCTCTCCTTGGGCCTGCTCTTCTCCCTGGCCCTGCTCCTCTCACTTCACCTCTCATCTCTCACTGCACATCTCTCACTGCACATCTCTCACTGCACATCTCTCACTGCACATCTCTCACTGCACCTCTCACTGCACCTCTCACTTCATATCTCTCACTGCACCTCTCACTGCATATCTCTCACTGCATCTGCATCTCTCACTGCACCTCTCACTGCATATCTCTCACTGCATATCTCTCACTGCACCTCTCACTGCATATCTCTCACTGCACCTCTCACTGCATATCTCTCACTGCATCTGCATCTCTCACTGCACCTCTCACTGCACCTCTCACTGCATATCTCTCACTGCACCTCTCACTGCATATCTCTCACTGCACCTCTCACTGCACCTCTCACTGCATATCTCTCACTGCACCTCTCACTGCATATCTCTCACTGCACCTCTCACTGTATATCTCTCACTGCACCTCTCACTGTATATCTCTCACTGCACCTCTCACTGCACCTCTCACTGTATATCTCTCACTGCACCTCTCACTGCATATCTCTCACTGCATCTGCACCTCTCACTGCACCTCTCACTGCATATCTCTCACTGCACCTCTCACTGCATCTGCACCTCTCACTGCATATCTCTCACTGCACCTCTCACTGCATCTCTCACTGCACCTCTCACTGCATCTCTCACTGCACCTCTCACTGCATATCTCTCACTGCACCTCTCACTGCATATCTCTCACTGCATATCTCTCACTGCACCTCTCACTGCATATCTCTCACTGCACCTCTCACTGCATATCTCTCACTGCATATCTCTCACTGCACCTCTCACTGCACCTCTCACTGCATATCTCTCACTGCACATCTCACTGCACCTCTCACTGCATATCTCTCACTGCACCAATTTGAATTTAGTGCAACGTTATCATTCATTCTATTAATCATAGTTTAATTAGTTGTATTTATCATTGTAATTTGACAACCATCCATGTGTAAAATCCCTCTTCTACATTAAATTAGTCTTAAATGGTTTCCCCTAAGCCTTTTCTTTAAATTTCACTTCATTTGTATCTCTCTTACTGTAAGTTGTTCTCAAGTTGTCTGGTATTTACCCTGTTGTTTCATATTTATAGACATGACTAAGACTGGTAAACCAGACTCATACTGGCATGACATCATGTGCAAGTATGCCCAAGGGAAGTACCACTTCTCAACAGGGAAGAAGCCAGGGGCGAAGAAGTGGAAGCATGCCTTGGAAAGAATTAATAACTGTCCATTACACAAACAGACCTGTGCATATGATATATTTGGGAAAATAATCACTTGCAAATGTGGTTATCATAAGGTATGTAATGAATGTGATTATTTTACCTACGCTAGTGATCATTACTAATTTAAAAACATTTTTTAATAAGAGAAAAATGTTCATTATTTGAGCTGTAAAGCCTGACATATGAAATAATAGTCAGAAAAAGGTGTGTGTGTGTGTGTGTATATATATATATATATATATATATATATATATATATATATAATGTGCACAAACTGAGCAAAGCTGTGCAATTTAGTGCAAATGCTGTCAGTACACTAGATTCATTTCTTAGCTTTTAATGTAAATCAGTGAGGTCTTTATAATGGTATAACAGATTACTTGCATAAAATGCATATAAATGTCAATTTAACTCAGTAAAAAGATACCTGCACAAAGACCTGAAGCTGAAGGTGGGTGTTTTTACAATTCTACTAAAAGGTGTATTACTTTCCTTAAAAAACAACAACCTATGAATCAGACGACAGTTTGCATGTAGTAATTGTGTACAACATGTTTTTCAGCAAAGTTTTGATTTTGATAATTTGCAGATTTTGAGACCTAGGGAAAACACTAATCCTAGGGAAAACACTAATGCTTTTTTTTTACAGTCAGCAGAGCAGACAGTGTTAGGCATGCAAGCAGGACCACAGAGCAGTGCAGGCATGCAAGCAGGACCACAGAGCAGTGCAGGCATGCAAGCAGGACCACAGAGCAGTGCAGGCATGCAAGCAGGACCACAGAGCAGTGCAGGCATGCAAGCAGGACCACAGAGCAGTGCAGGCATGCAAGCAGGACCACAGAGCAGTGCAGGCATGCAAGCAGGACCACAGAGCAGTGCAGGCATGCAAGCAGGACCACAGAGCAGTGCAGGCATGCAAGCAGGACCACAGAGCAGTGCAGGCATGCAAGCAGGACCACAGAGCAGTGCAGGTGCAAAACCTGCCTCATGGAGCAGTGCAGGTGCGCAGGCAAGACCAGCGAGCAGTGCAGGTGCAAAACCTGCCTCATGGAGCAGTGCAGGTGCGCAGGCAAGACCAGCGAGCAGTGCAGGTGCAAAACCTGCCTCATGGAGCAGTGCAGGTGCGCAGGCAAGACCAGCGAGCAGTGCAGGTGCAAAACCTGCCTCATGGAGCAGTGCAGGTGCGCAGGCAAGACCAGCGAGCAGTGCAGGTGCAAAACCTGCCTCATGGAGCAGTGCAGGTGCGCAGGCAAGACCAGCGAGCAGTGCAGGTGCAAAACTAGCCCCAGAGAGCAGTGCAGGCTCAAGATCAGTCCCAGAGAGCAGTTCTTCAATAAAGTGTGGTCTTTGTGGTGAAGACATTGATGTGGAGTGTTTTACCGAACATCTGTCAGACTACCATGTCCAAGAATGTTGTGACCAGTGTGGTGCAAAAGTCTGGGGTGCGGTTGGACTTCTTCACCACATTGAAAGTAATCATCCTTGTACCAGTCTTGCAGGGACAGAATCTGTGGATCCACCAACATCTTCTCCAACAACATCATTTACTGAATCACCCGCATACATTGAAGAGCAGCGAGGCGTTCCACAAACTGCACCTCAAACACCATCCCTGGAAATTAACCTGAGGCCTCAAACACCATCCCTGGAAATTAATCTGAGGCCTCCAGAAGTGAATTGGGTGAGTTTTCTCCCCAAACAGTTCTGTCGAGTTATTAAGCCAGCAGACCAGAAGTGGATAGCGCAGTGTCTATATGACGCCACAGGACGACTTAAGCAGCAGTTTTCTCAAAACTGGTTTTATCCACCAAGTCCCAGCAAGCCTACAACTTCACCTCCTGATCCTAACACCTACTTTAGACAGCGTATGTTTCTGTGGGCCCCAATGAGAATGTGGGGTATTCCTCTGAAGTGCACACAGTGCAATAGGAAGATGCACCATTCAGGAATCTACACAAAAGTGAGGGAAGTCATTGATATTGACTCGAGATATTATTTAATTGGAGTAGACTACCCTCGCTGCAGTAAGTGTATGATTCCTGTCTGCCCTTGGAGTTCGGAGATCCTCAAACAACTAGATCCCTCACACAGAAACAAATTCCCCGCTGTTCTCACCACTCACCTTGCACTTGACAGGAAGTGTGTGACTTTGTTGAAGCCTAGAACTGCAGGGAACAGCTCCAGTTTCTTGCAGCAGGCGCTTGAAGAAGTTCACAGCGAGGAGTGGGCAAGACGTACCATTAACTATCTAACAGACTGTGAATTTCACAAAAAGAAATGTGCCCTGACACAAGCTGAAGTGATATATCAGCAGCCACCGCCTTTTCGCCCCCTACCTCTGGCACAGTGGTTTGAGACGGTTCATGCCAACGAGATCCTGAGTCACATTGATGAGCTAAAGGGTGTCATAACATCGACATATGGTAGCATCCTGAAGCTTGATTCTACCAAGAAGGTAAATGTATATAAAAAGAGGCAAATGCATGTTAACTTCAACTTGATGTTCAGTGATTTTTACCTGATTGTAATGTTTGTGTATTTATATAGATAACTAAAAAGCTTGCTGGTGGCATTGCGGACACTGCTACATGGATGACCAATGTTGGCAATGAGTTTGGCCAAGTCCTGAACTGTGTCCTAACCACTGGTGAGGGAGCTGGCATAGATGACTTGTGTCAGGGCATCGTAAAGCGATACAAGGATGCTGGGGAGCCAGAGCCAGCTGTGATTTACGTTGACCGGGACTGCTGCAGCGAGACAGGTTTGTTACATTAAGTCTTTACCTAATATGAATGTGTTTGCATTTCTAATTCATATTAGCAACCATTTCAGGCATGTTTCTAAATTACTAAAAACTAAATTTCATTCCTGGTACATGGTTTTTCTAGGTGTTTGTTCATATTCTTTAAGAACACTCATAAAGAGAATTTTTAGAACTATTTACTATAGAAATTTATATATTTTTTTAGATCTATTTACAATGGTTCTAAAATTCTTAATTTCTATTTACAGTAGCAATTTAGTGTGAGAACCCCTGTTCAGTGTTTGCAATCAAGTAAACAAAAGCTTATGTAAAACAGCATTATTATATTTCTTTAATGATGCAAATGTAAATCTGAGAAAACAATCACTCCTTGTTTCTCATTGGTGTAGGCGTGACTCCAGTTCTTACCTGGTTTCGACCATGGAATATCACAGTGCGACTTGATGTGTTCCACTTCATGCGGCGGTTTACTGCTGGCCTTACAACGGAGCACCATCCACTGTATGGCACTTTCTGCTCCAAGTTGTCCAGCTGTATATTTGAATGGGACAAGGATGACATCTCTCGTCTTAAAGAGGCGAAAAAGACCATGCTTTTAAAAAAACATGGGGGTCATATTTCAACAGAGGCCCAAATCCTGTCAAGCATCACCTCCAGTGAGCTGGCCAAGCACTGCAGGAGGAGGACACGCGGAGTTGAAGAAACTCGTGTCTTGATACAAGGACTACTGGACTCCATGTGGGAACTGACCGACACCACTGGTTTGCGCCTCATCAATCCAGAGAGCATGACACGTGTGTGGGAGGTACAGCAGAAACACTTACCTTGCATCCAAGATCCACTCGGTGTTCAGTTGTACACAAAACTGGGCTCCGGTTTACAGAAGGGTGACAAGGTTCTGGATGTACTGAGGTGTGGCAGAGGGTCCTCCTCTCTGGAAAGCTTCCATCGCCACCAGTGCACTTTTATTCCAGGTAAATTGAAAATATAAAACAATATTATGTGTATATTTAAATAGTGTTGTCACAATACTGAAGTTTCTAACTTTGAAAATTAAAGGCATCAAATTGGAACCGACCTTTTTCTTAGGCCTGGTAGTTCTGAGTAGGGGGTTATATAATAGTATTTTAATCATGTGAAACATTGTCTTTCAGGCTGGAGATGTAATGCACTACATACGCAGATGTACATGCTTGAAGGTGCATCTAGGTGGAACATCAACCGCGCTCATCAAGCTGTGGACATGAGTGGTACATCACTTACTAAAATTTATGATGTACGTTTAATGTCCCACATGAATGTCCTCAGCAACAGAGTCCTTGGATGTGCACTCCTGCCAGAATTCAAACCTCCTGGGAGACCCACTGGTAAGATTCACCATTGTACACTCTATTACGATAGTGATTCCAGGCATCACTGTATGTTTTCAAAGGCTTTGCATAGGCCTGGGGTGGTATGGATTTTTTCTAACCGCGGTTGTAAAGCAAGATATTCCCGCGGTATAGCGGTAAACCGCTTTAAACACCCAACCCCACCCCCCACCCCGACAGACTTCCGCGCACCGCGCACTCACCAGAAGGCGTTTTTCCTTTCTAGAACAGCCAAGAGCTTTCTAGCCTCGCGGCAGCAGCGCCTTGCATCGCTCATAGACCTTAAAACTGATAAAAAAAAATAAAAAAAAACGAAAATTGATCAAAAAACGTTGGTGCGGATGGATGGCGGACAGATTGCGGATGAAATAATAATAGCCCATCCGCGCATCTCTAATACGAATGTAATGCTATGTGTCATGGAACATTGCGCTCCCCAACTCGCGAAAGGGATTTGCTCCATCTTTTGATAAGTTTTGTTTAGAAAACCTTGAATCCATGTAAGACACACTATCATTAGAAATAATCCATGTCACTAGAATCAATGAATCCATATCATTAGACACAACGTGCACACATGTGCAGGCCAATGTTTTTTTTTTTTTTTTTTTTTGTGATGACGGTGACGAGCTCAGACCCGCGGTTGGAGTCACGTGACCGCGGTATTGCGGTAACCGTCCCAGCCCTAGCTTTGCATGCTGCCTGAACGCTAACCACTCAGACCATCGTTTTCATGACTGATCATTGCTGTAAAGCTGCTCGTTCCTAGTTATAAGATATGTCAGTTTTGTGAAGTTGAAGTGTATTTGTTTTAGTTTTTCTTTTGTGATTTTTGCTTTTAATTTAATTACATTTTTCATGTTAATCGCAAAATAGATTTTTTATTAGTAACACTACATTCATCACATGCACTGTAGCCTACTGCTTTAGCCTGATATATAGCTCTTATTACAAAATGTTTATTGAATCTTTATGGCAGATGAGCGTATAGCTGTGGAGTACTTACTGGCACAGTCTGACAGAGGAGACCTGCTTTCTCCACTGGAGCAACGTGAAATCGCCTTGCCAGAGATGGAGGTTGAAGTTCAGGAGGATGAGTGTCTGGATGTCACAATATGTGATGCGGCAGACATCAATTTGGGCACACACACCCTTGCAAGTTCCAGCAGTCATGGTGATTCATTGATCTCACCTCTGGTAATGTCAATTTTCTTGATCATTTTGAATTAAAATTACATAGGAATGTTAATTTTTAGGAGCAATGAATGAGTTGCTTCATGATTAAACGTTCATTTAATTAAAAGATTATTAATAGTCCATTTGAACAGTCAATTTTGTAACTGAAGTTTATTCTTCTCTTTAAAATGTTTAAAAATAATCTAGGAAACCAGTGTGCCAAGTGGTGGCTCTTACAGTCCTGACATTGAAGACATTTCCTGTGCTGGGCCCAGCACACCAGCTCCGGTAAAGTTTCTAATACCTGATGCTTGTAATTTGTGAATGGTTTATCAAAGTTATAGTGGTTTATCAAAATAATTTCCTAATGCAGGATTCTGTTTTTGTTTACATTTTTAGGACAGTAGATGTGATTCAAGGGGTGTTCCTGGATGGGAGGCAGTGGATAACCTGGCAGGGTATCTCGTCAGTCTCAACCGCACGATCACTGGTTTATCAACCAACGAGGTAGCAGAGATCTTGCGGTTGTATTCGTATTTGCATACCATTGATCAGTCCCCCTCCAAGTATTCCCTTAAGTGCAAGAAAAAGACCTTGGAAGGTCCTTGGAGAGCTTCTCGGAAGCGTAGTGGCTCAGCCCCTGGTCAGCAAGCAGCTGAGAGGTGAGTTAAATTGTAGTGCACCGGTGTTAAATTTGAGTCTTGTTGAATGCTCCCTGTATAATTTAATTCCTTTCAAAGGTTAAAGATACTTTAAAAAACTGTTTTGCTGAGATCCAGGATAGATCATAAAGTCTATCCCTCATTGCCATAAAATTCCAAAACATAATCAGTCAATATGTTTACAAAGCTATAATGAACCATAGAATACTAATCATACATAATACAATCATGCATCTTTTTATTCACAGACTGTTCATGACTCATGGTCAGGCTGCCCAGAGACCTGATGCCAACAGGGTTTCAGAATGTGTCGCACTCAAGCTTCTGAAGGAATTCAGGGAAGCCAGAAATAGGCCTAAAGATAACAAGGGCAAAACCTTTCCCATTCCTCAGGCAATTGTGATGATTTATAGCCACATCAAGCAGCTGCTTGAAGACTGCAGAGAGCTACTAGACCAGACCAACTTGGTGCTAGTTACTATAAACAACACCACAGTGTCTTCATGGTGAGTTGGATTTCAGCTTCCTAAATTATGAAATAATTAGTAATATGAAATCTATTTCTATGATGAACGACTGCACTTCTGAAATAATAAATCTATTGAACTATTCTCTATTCCACATGTATTTGTATGTAACATACATTAAATGTATACATTGTTTTCAGACACCGTCTCATTTTGAAACTTGTAACCTTTTATATGTCTGCCAAAAAAAGGATTTTAAAAAATTGGTAATAAATGCATACATTGTTTCACAAAAGCTTTTCAGAAATTCAGAATGTTACGATTTAGAATACGTTGTTGCTTATTACACAGCTCTCTGAAATGCTTGATTCTGATTTGTCAGTTGAGACATTCCGCGGTCTGTTTTTCTCTGATAATGTTCACAAAGTGCAAAGTTTATCAGTTCAATTCTGGTTAATTTGGCTATAAATCAGCTGTAGTGTTATCAGTTTAGTTATTGTCCAATAATGTCAGTATAGTCAAATTGATAATATTGCTGAATGCTAAAGGAACACGCTGACTTTTTGGGACTTTAGCTTATTCACCGTATCCCCCAGAGTCAGATAAGTCCATACATACCCTTCTCATCTCCGTGCGTGCTGTAACTCTATCCGACGCCCCCCACCGCTGGCCTAGCTTAGCACAAATACTGGCGGTAAATGGCTCCATCTAGCATACTGCTCCCAATAAGTGACAAAATAACAGCAACATTTTCCTATTTACATGTTGTGATTTGTATAGCAACAGTGTGTACAAATAACAAGGCCATATGAGACGCAGGCATCTTCTAACCATATACATACTGGGAACTATATTCTCAGAAGGTGAAGCACTTCTACTTGGATGGAGTGATTTACTTGCAGCACCTGAGAACTGGTGGGGAGCAGAGAGTTCACTCAGAGTTGGAGTAAATCACTCCACAGAAGTAGCAGTGCTTCGGAGATACGGTGAATAAGCTAAAGTCCCAAAAAGTCGGCGTGTTCCTTTAATGCTGAAGTATCCAAGTGATGGATAGTTTTTGAATAGTTTAGTTTACATAGTTTATAAAAACAAATCAGTAGAGATGTTTTGTAAATGTACTGTGGGTAAAGCTAAAAATGTCTGTTATTCTTTCCCAGGCTTCTCGACAGACAGAAAAGAACTGACCGGGACACCTTGCTACAAGGAGTAGAGCTTCCCCAGCCTGTCGGTTTGGCAAAGGAGCCACTGCCAAAGCCTAGAGAACTCCCATCTGCACCTGTTGAACATGGACATGTTGCCATTGAGTTCCAGGAGCCTGAAAATCGGGAGGGTGAGGCAGTTATACGCCAACGTAAATGTGCACGAACTGGAACTGCAGTGTCTTCTATTACGCACACAGACACTGGGCTTGGAGACACATCTCCATCTGGCACAGACTGGCTTGGGGCCCAGCACTTTCCTGGGTGGCATGTCTGGCCTGGGTATTCTGATTTGTCTTTTCCACCATCGCACTCTCAGGGTTGGTCATCTTTTCAGCCAGGCCAACAGCCATCAGCTCCACCATCGCACTCTCATGGTTGGTCGTCTTTTCCACCAGGCCAACAGCCATCAGTTCCACCATCGCACTCTCATGGTTGGTCGTCTTTTCCACCAGGCCAACAGCCATCAGTTCCACCATCGCACTCTCAGAGTTGGTCTTCTCTTCAGCCGTCCCAACAGCCATCAGCTCCACCATCGCACTCTCAGGGTTGGTCTTCTCTTCAGCCGTCCCAACAGCCATCAGCTCCACCATCGCACTCTCAGGGTTGGTCGTCTTTTCCACCAGGCCAACAGCCATCAGCTCCACCATCGCACTCTCATGGTTGGTCGTCTTTTCCACCAGGCCAACAGCCATCAGTTCCACCATCGCACTCTCAGGGTTGGTCGTCTTTTCCACCAGGCCAACAGCCATCAGATCCACCATCGCACTCTCAGAGTTGGTCGTCTTTTCCACCAGGCCAACAGCCATCAGATCCACCATCGCACTCTCAGGGTTGGTCGTCTTTTCCATCAGGCCAACAGCCATCAGTTCCACCACCTCCTCAGAACCGACAGCGTGCATGGAGACAGCACAAGGCAGCACTTGAGGATCAAGAGCGTGTGGCAAGAGGGGAGCCACCAAAGAAGCGTCACACAAAGGAACAATACCATTATGTGTGTAAAATATGTGGCCAATCGAAAAGTAAACTCACTGGCCATTCCCAGGTTAGAGGAAAGTGGTACTGTCCAGCATCTGGCCAGACCATTGCAGAGTGGAAAGAGTCTCTTTAGGATTTATTTTGTCTTTCATTCACAATTACATTTAATTTTTATTTTTTTATAATTGTGATAATTTTAATTTTATAAAATTTTATATAATTTTATAAAACTTAAATTTTTACGTTAGTGCATTAAGTACATTTGAAGGAAAGCTCTTAAAAATATGTTTATGTATATATAACAATTTTTTCTATATTTTTATTAAACTATTTGTCGAAGTTATATTATTACTATTATTATATCTAGCCATTGTAATTGTGTGAGTGTGTATGTGTATCTAAATGGCTAATTATTATTAATATTATTATTATAAAACTACCAAAAATACTAATTATATATATATATATATATATATATATATATATATATTATTTATTTATTAAACTATTTGTAATAGTAGTAAGTTTTTATTATTATCATTACATGTAGCCATTTAAATTTGTATTTATTATAAAGTTATATAGATTTGAGCTTTTATTTGGGAAAGTGTATTATTATATGTAATGTTTATATTATTATTATTATATGTAATGTATATATTATTATTATGAAACCAAATTTGTGGTAGTGTTTATTATATATGAAACCATTTTAATTATAAATATATATATATTCCTTCTATTGTAAATGTTGGATTTGAGACTTTGTGGTAGTAATTGTATAATAAATAATTGTATTTACATATATTTGTACTTGTGTGTATATATATTTTTTTTTATTATTATTATTATTACATATAACATAAGTTACATTCGAGCTTTTGGAATAAACTATATTTGTGGAAAGTATGTGTTGTACATTTTATTCTTGCAAATTGTTTTTTTAATTGGGTAAAATAGGTCTAAAATGGGTCTAAATGTGTAAAATAGGTCTAAATATTGACTTTTCTAACATTTATTTTTTATTTTTTACATTTTTACACTTACATTCACGCATTTGACAGACACTTTTATCCAAAGCATCTTAAATATCATTTCAAGGAACACATTTCACATTCTTATCAGTTCTTGCTTTCCCTGGGACTCGAACCCATCATTTTGGTCGCCTTTTCCCCCTTCTTTCCCCTCCCTTTTGGCGTTTTTTTTTCCTTCTTCCCCCCCCCTTAGCAGTCCCTTTTGCCCTGGCTTTGGCCGAGAGGTTAAGGCGATGGACTTGAAATCCATTGGGGTCTCCCCGCGCAGGTTCGAACCCTGCCGACTACGTTGATCCTTGTCACTTTGTCTGGTTGCGACAGGAATTGTGACATCCAGAAGCTGTGTACAATCTGGATTTTTCTCTTACTTCATATGCAGCACTTAAAATGGGCAACCCACATCTCTTTTCAAGCTTGAAATGAGCACCGTTTCAAAAGGCTCAGATCATCTGTGATTTTGGCCATTCTATTCAGGCAATCGGAGCAATGGCTTTGGCATCCCCGATAACTCCAAGGCCTTCACAGTGTGCAGCTCAAGAGTTGCTGCATTCTATTTTGTGGAGAATCTTGCATATTAGTGTTTTGAAATGTCGGATTTGCTCTCTCTTAGCATAGTGAAACAGAAACCTACTCATTGTGAACCAATTACTTGTTTGTCCAAACCACCTTAGAGTTAGCAACCGGCCATGAAAAAAAGAACACTCTTTCAATGTCAGTGTTCCTAGCATGCCAGGAGCAGCCCATCTCTCTTGCCCCTTTACAAATTGTGGTCTTCATCATTTGATGCCACAAATTTTAAGCTGACAAAGCAGGAACACTTTATGGAGAAAGTGCTGTTAAATCCCCGAGGTGCCTGTTCCTTGGTAAGAGCCCGGATAGCTCAGTCGGTAGAGCATCAGACTTTTAATCTGAGGGTCCAGGGTTCAAGTCCCTGTTCGGGCGAAGGTCTGTCACTTTGTTGCAGACCTCCCCTAATCACTTGCTGTCCTCTTACCAGCCTTTGAGGAAGGTGGGCTTCCTCTTCAAGAAAAGATGTGGCGATGTGTTATTTCCCAGCATTTGGTGTTGTTTTGCCTTCTGTAATGCTTGGTTGCTGTCTCAGCAAGCAGTGGTGGGGGACTTTAGAGAAACGAGCTGAAGCTTGCTGTCGACTATGTATGTTCAGTCACTTCTAAGCGGTCGTGTGCAGGCCTGAGTGAGTGGATTGCTTTCTCTGTTAAGTTGTTTAGTACTTTGTGTTGTGCCCGCAGCATCCCCAGTCCAAATCCGGATCACGACACTCTTTTCGTGTAGGTGAAGACGTCGTTGAACTCCTTTTTGCCATCACAGTATTTTAGCCGAGTGCATCCTCTGCTGCTCGCATTTGCATTGATGGTTGGCACCAGTGTCCTCTGTTGCTCACATCCAGAAAAAAAATAGCATGTGACCCACAGGCAGGAGTAGTCGTGGCCGAGAGGTTAAGGCGATGGCCTTGAAATCCATTGGGGTCTCCCCGCGCAGGTTCGAACCCTGCCGACTACGTTGATCCTTGTCACTTTGTCTGGTTGCGACAGGAATTGTGACATCCAGAAGCTGTGTACAATCTGGATTTTTCTCTTACTTCATATGCAGCACTTAAAATGGGCAACCCACATCTCTTTTCAAGCTTGAAATGAGCACCGTTTCAAAAGGCTCAGATCATCTGTGATTTTGGCCATTCTATTCAGGCAATCGGAGCAATGGCTTTGGCATCCCCGATAACTCCAAGGCCTTCACAGTGTGCAGCTCAAGAGTTGCTGCATTCTATTTTGTGGAGAATCTTGCATATTAGTGTTTTGAAATGTCGGATTTGCTCTCTCTTAGCATAGTGAAACAGAAACCTACTCATTGTGTACCAATTACTTGTTTGTCCAAACCACCTTAGAGTTAGCAACCGGCCATGAAAAAAAGAACACTCTTTCAATGTCAGTGTTCCTAGCTTGCCAGGAGCAGCCCATCTCTCTTGCCCCTTTACAAATTGTGGTCTTCATCATTTGATGCCACAAATTTTAAGCTGACAAAGCAGGAACACTTTATGGAGAAAGTTGTTTAGTACTTTGTGTTGTGCGCAGCATCCCCAGTCCAAATCCGGATCACGACACTCTTTTCGTGTAGGTGAAGACGTCGTTGAACTCCTTTTTGCCATCACAGTATTTTAGCCGAGTGCATCCTCTGCTGCTCGCATTTGCATTGATGGTTGGCCCCAGTGTCCTCTGTTGCTCACATCCAGAAAAAAAATAGCATGTGACCCACAGGCAGGAGTAGTCGTGGCCGAGAGGTTAAGGCGATGGACTTGAAATCCATTGGGGTCTCCCCGCGCAGGTTCGAACCCTGCCGACTATGTTGATCCTTGTCACTTTGTCTGGTTGCGACAGGAATTGTGACATCCAGAAGCTGTGTACAATCTGGATTTTTCTCTTACTTCATATGCAGCACTTAAAATGGGCAACCCACATCTCTTTTCAAGCTTGAAATGAGCACCGTTTCAAAAGGCTCAGATCATCTGTGATTTTGGCCATTCTATTCAGGCAATCGGAGCAATGGCTTTGGCATCCCCGATAACTCCAAGGCCTTCACAGTGTGCAGCTCAAGAGTTGCTGCATTTTATTTTGTGGAGAATCTTGCATATTAGTGTTTTGAAATGTCGGATTTGCTCTCTCTTAGCATAGTGAAACAGAAACCTACTCATTGTGTACCAATTACTTGTTTGTCCAAACCACCTTAGAGTTAGCAACCGGCCATGAAAAAAAGAACACTCTTTCAATGTCAGTGTTCCTAGCTTGCCAGGAGCAGCCCATCTCTCTTGCCCCTTTACAATTGTGGTCTTCATCATTTGATGCCACAAATTTTAAGCTGACAAAGCAGGAACACTTTATGGAGAAAGTTGTTTAGTACTTTGTGTTGTGCCCGCAGCATCCCCAGTCCAAATCCGGATCACGACACTCTTTTCGTGTAGGTGAAGACGTCGTTGAACTCCTTTTTGCCATCACAGTATTTTAGCCGAGTGCATCCTCTGCTGCTCGCATTTGCATTGATGGTTGGCCCCAGTGTCCTCTGTTGCTCACATCCAGAAAAAAAATAGCATGTGACCCACAGGCAGGAGTAGTCGTGGCCGAGAGGTTAAGGCGATGGACTTGAAATCCATTGGGGTCTCCCCGCGCAGGTTCGAACCCTGCCGACTACGTTGATCCTTGTCACTTTGTCTGGTTGCGACAGGAATTGTGACGTCCAGAAGCTGTGTACAATCTGGATTTTTCTCTTACTTCATATGCAGCACTTAAAATGGGCAACCCACATCTCTTTTCAAGCTTGAAATGAGCACCGTTTCAAAAGGCTCAGATCATCTGTGATTTTGGCCATTCTATTCAGGCAATCGGAGCAATGGCTTTGGCATCCCCGATAACTCCAAGGCCTTCACAGTGTGCAGCTCAAGAGTTGCTGCATTCTATTTTGTGGAGAATCTTGCATATTAGTGTTTTGAAATGTCGGATTTGCTCTCTCTTAGCATAGTGAAACAGAAACCTACTCATTGTGTACCAATTACTTGTTTGTCCAAACCACCTTAGAGTTAGCAACCGGCCATGAAAAAAAGAACACTCTTTCAATGTCAGTGTTCCTAGCTTGCCAGGAGCAGCCCATCTCTCTTGCCCCTTTACAAATTGTGGTCTTCATCATTTGATGCCACACATTTTAAGCTGACAAAGCAGGAACACTTTATGGAGAAAGTGCTGTTAAATCCCCGAGGTGCCTGTTCCTTGGTAAGAGCCCGGATAGCTCAGTCGGTAGAGCATCAGACTTTTAATCTGAGGGTCCAGGGTTCAAGTCCCTGTTTGGGCGAATGTGTGTCACTTTGTTGCAGACCTCCCCTAATCACTTGCTGTCCTCTTACCAGCCTTTGAGGAAGGTGGGCTTCCTCTTCAAGAAAAGATGTGGCGATGTGTTATTTCCCAGCATTTGGTGTTGTTTTGCCTTCTGTAATGCTTGGTTGCTGTCTCAGCAAGCAGTGGTGGGGGACTTTAGAGAAACGAGCTGAAGCTTGCTGTCGACTATGTATGTTCAGTCACTTCTAAGCGGTCGTGTG